GTTAAAAGAAATAAATCTCCATTTATATAAAGTTTTACAGTAAGGGAAACTAATCCATAGTAACAGAAATCAAACCAGTGGCATTTGAGGTGACACAGGTTGGGATTGATTACAAAGGGGCATAGGGAAACTTTCTGGATTAAAATGGCTGTTACATGGTTATGAATATGTCAAAATTCATTGAACATTTAAAAAATGTATATGTTTATTGTATATAAATTAGGCCTCAATCTAGTTGATTTTTTCAAGAGGTGAGTCTAATTAAGCCAAAGGAAAATGTAAAAAACAAAGACCCTATTTATACATGAACACAACTAGAGTATTCAGTAATGACAAAATAGCTGATCTAATAAAATTTGGCACTTAATATAAGAAGTAATTAATATCAAAAAGTAAGGGAATATTCATAATGAAAACGACCAAAAGGTGCTGCTGGCCAAACTGTACTCTTATATTGTGTGCACGTACAAATATGTAATAACAAATCCCATGATATGTACAACTATAGTGCACCAATAAAAAAGATGAGGAAAAAAGACAAAAAGTCCAAAACATGATTTATGAGTCCTGTTGCCATTCACTTAATAATTATACAATTATATAAACATATGCTTCAGCAATATGCAATATTGGAGATGGAATCAAAAATGAAAAATTCCTAGCCTTCAAGAAATTTATACTCTAAATGGAAGGCAAAGAAAAACCATGGGCAATTAAAGTACATGATGAAATTACAATGAGATGGATCAGCGAGTGCACTGAATGATACCACATTGATGCACAGAACTGTGGGAAAGCGGGAAGTCAAGGAACACTGGCCAGAAAAGACTGCTAGAAGTTTCCCATAAATATTGATTTGAATTTCAAGTGCCAAGGACTATGTTAGTATTAGTATATTTTAATGACAAAACAGAAATGGCTGTTGCCTTCCTAGAATCTGGAGTGGAGAAAGGAAGACTAACAGTAAAAGTGAACATATTCACACATACATATTTACAAGTCCTATTAAATTCTATGATGGATGCAATGAAATGAAAAACAGAGATAAAAGAGATGCCATACACAACTCTGAGAAAGGAATAATTAAGCTGTGTTCCTAATAATGAGAAGTCAACAATTAAAGAGTTACCACATTTGAAAAGGGGGCATTTTAGGGAAGAAAAAGCATGCGCCCACACACAAAAATACAATGGCACATTTGGGTAACTTCAAATACCTTCTACATGGTAAGAAATGAGATATAAGCAGTAAGAGACCTAATAATGGACATGCGTGCGTGTGTACTGGTATTGAAATAACACACTCATAATCAACTACCCATCAGAACTATGAAAAGTTTATGAACTAAAAAGGCAAAAGGTAATAGCATTAGTGTCATATATTCAGAAAAGATAAACTCAAATAGAAAAGAAATCTAGGATTAAAAAAATAAGAGTATAAAGTAAAAAAACAAAAGATATGTTTCATGATTTAAAAAATTTCAAAGACAAAAGTAACATGAGAATGGTGCTGATTCTTATTATGAATATTATAATGTTTAAATTAATAGTTCAGAGATACAGAAAGAAAAAACACTTAAGTCAAAATTGACCAAGTCTTATATCAATACCTTCAGGTGAAGAAAATACTTCCTTAAATTCCAAAAATCTACTTACTGTGATTTTTTAAATTTTGTAAGAAAAATCAGACTATGATAGCATTTTAAATTACCTTTTGCTGCTAATTAATTACTCAGACAGGATGCCAGGACAGACTACATGCTGCCTCTAGTTTTTCTATATACTGTATGCATTTCTGATAAATGGGAAAAGAATAGATGACCTGGCAGAAGGCTCAGACAATAATATGTGATTTACAGGACATGAATGCAGCTACCACAAGATTTATCTGACAGCCCTCTCCGATAGTGGACTGTTGAGTATCCGATGGAATGATTTCTAGTCTAGAAAGTCTACTACTGAGTAGCCATACACATTATTTATTTATTAGATGTTTTGGGTTGAAACCATTTTTAAATGATGCACTTCACAATGCACAGTCATAAATTTAGCTTTAAACCCAAGAAGGGAGGTAGTGTTATTGGAATGTATGTCAGACTGAATTAGGATGAGCAACACAACGCTTTTATAAAGTGGCCTTGAATGCAATGTCAATTCTTTCAAAAATGATATTAACGTCAAATGAGCAAGATTCAAACACTGTATAAAACAATGGAGTAATATTACTTGAAACATTTATTTAACATTTTCTTTAAATTCAAGTAGATATCATCAGGTTTATACATAGCACTCACAGCAAATATGGGGCACAAATTAGTTACATGATTGTGACGATGAATCTGAAATATTGTTGAGAACTTGTTTAACTTTTTTCTGTGCATAAAGAACATACAGTCTCCTAAAGAATGTAAGCAATTTTATTTTGAGAAGTAATGGGATTTAATTTAAACAGTTTTTGAAGCTTAGATAGTTCTTCAATTGTTTTATCTGAGATTCAACATATGAATGAATCTAATTTAGTAAACCTGAAATATAAATTAATTTTGCACAAAAATGCAATGCTAAGTGTTTTCAGAAAGTTTTCAATTCTAAATAACAACATTTTGCCTGTTATTAAAATGTAAATAAGATAAAATATAAAATTCTCCTAGTCAACAACTAATGAATGAAATGAACATGGAAAAACATAATGCTAGTTGAAGCTTTAAAGAAATGTATAGTGATCAGTTTGGTTGATCTTACTGTCAACAACCAAATGTAATCACTTCCTCATTTTTGAAACTTAGGCTTTAATTTCCATTTGTAATAAAATGTGATTAAGCACCTTGTTCAAAAAAATGCAAAAGGAAAAAGTTTTGAAAAGATTCAAGAAAATAATAAGAACATGGCTGATTGTCATGAAATTAACACCAACTAATTTGTAAAGTTCTAAATCAAATTTGCAGATGTTAAGTTCATAAGCATAACCCATTATTTATGTGATTAAAAAGGAGTTTTTGACCTGATCTTTCGATCTTTGGCACTCAATCCTCTCCATCTCCTCTTAAAAAATTAATTAAAATTTTGGCAAGATGGTAGCTTTTTACTTCCCATCCTATCTCAGACTAAAAAAAATTATCAATCAAACTCAAAACATCCCCACCCAATATCTGCAAAATGTCGACTTGAAATTCAATTTCATATCTCTGAAGCTTTCATGTAGAAAAAGACAGTTCACTTCTTAACAAAATAAATCACTTTTGTGATTACCAAGTTGACCTCTTTGAATTAGGAAAATTCAAAGTGAAAAATGTAATTATCACCCGGGAACAATCTGTATACATCTGGAGCTAATTCTGGCTTCATTTTTCACATCATTTTTCACACTGTGCTACATCTTGTAGAGATGCCATGGAACTTTTGAAGAACTCATAAAAAATGCTAGGGACTTCAAATACCCAGTAATGTATGTTATTCAAACAAAAACCTTGAGAATTTTTGGCTTTTGAAACTTATTCTACTAAGTGATCTTTATATACCATTTAACTGGGTAAGTATTAAATACTACTGTGGTACACATGAGAAATAGTTGTGTTAAAATGTGTCATTCTTTATCTTCGTGGCGTCTAATGTTCAAATATGTAATATACTATGTCTGAAATAGCTTTCAGGTACCAAAAATATATTCAAGACTAAACTTGAAAATTAAACTTCACTATCAAAATTCACTTATGAAACAATTATGTCACTATAAAAAACAAACCCATATTCTTTTGAAAAAAACTGTAAATAAATGCTTCGAAAAGGGTAATTTCATGTATGTAATGAGAATGTTATGTGGCAATTTCTATCCAAGAAATAATGAATTATTTCAAATCAGATGGCTGAATGAAAAGTTTTATTTAGTGGGCTTTTGAAGAAAGAAGCTTTTCTAAATAAAAGAAAAATTATACAAACATGAGTTTCACTAAATGTAAGAATAATAATCCCACTAACAAATATAACTACTCCTCACAAGTTCATTATGAAAATCCCTAGAAGTAATTCTTCTTATTGCACTTTATTGATAAAGCATAGCATTGATTTTTCACACCTTCTATGATTCTTTAATTTGTATTCATGAAATGTCCATCAGCACAGTCTAAGTAAATTTGGCAATATAGGCACTAAAATGAATAAATCGATACAAAGAAGCATTAATTTTGCATTATCCTTATTCATTAGGCAAGTAAACCATGAGAGTTGTAAATGAAGGTCAAAGGTGTTGAAATGGGTCAAAACCCTTGACCTCTAGACCAATACCCTTCCTATTAAGAAAGGCTTTTTTAAAGTTTTAAGTAGGGGAATTTACTACCAGCAAGATATCACTTTTAAAAGACTACAAAGAAAACTCTCAATAAAAACATTCATCTGTTTAATAGCAAAACAGAAAACAAAATAGCACAGGATAAATGATTTTTGCACAAATTTTTTAAATTATTAAAAAAAATCTAATATGTCTGAACATGTCTAATTTTGCTATTAGAAATTATTTTCTACATCATATTATTATGATAGCTACCACATTTTTGTTGATGCTTTCCCAAGTCTAGTGTGTATGTCAAAAATAATTAGCAACAACAAGGATTCAAAATTATTTATCACTCATTTTATAACCTCTGCACAAAAAGGAAGTAAACCCATGATTCCCAGTGGAATCAGAGTGGCACTTCGCAAAGTATAGAAATAAATCTGTTTCTGTAACCTTAAAATACAAAGCAGAGAAACAGTCATCTCAAAAGCATTTGATGTGGACATTTTTAATGTGACTCTAAAAGCTTTTGTTTCTCATTTACCTACCACCTTTCTTTCAGTACTTATTTCAAAATAATCATATTTTCAAGATACATATAAAATTATTTTAAAACAGAAAACTCAAAATCTCGTTATTGTATAACCTAGTAATAATACAGATATACTTGCTTATCAAAACAAATTCATGTAAAAATTTACTTTTAATTCAACATTTATTCTTGTACTCACCTGAGAACACAGTAGCATAACCAACTCCACAACTGAACTACTAGACTTCATGCAAACCAGACCTATTTTAAAGAGAATTTTTTAAAAACAATTACAAAGAAAAAAAATACAAGATTGATTTGTTGGTTACACAGTTTTGTCCAAAATGGTTTTTAAAATAAAACATTAACATCTTGCTAAGAACCATACCTGTACACAACTGATGATGTGATCATGTAAACATGGTTTCATAATTACCACAATTTTGGTAAAAGATACCATTTTAACTTTCAAAATACTAAAACATTTATTATAACTTCATATATAATGACATTTCACAATACTCATGGAAATGTGGACAACATATGCCATATTGATCAATATCATCTACATTTTGTTTTGGAGAGAGTTGATCGTTATACATGCAGAGAAGGGAAATGGCTCTCTGACCTTTGCTTTCTCCACCACACTCTCTCCCTTCAACCCTCCAGCTATCAATCAAGTTTCCATTTTGTTTCATGGCAGCAGACATCCCAAACACTCTTATTAGTACCTTGGCCTCTGACCTCACACTAAACCTTAACAGAAATGCAAGCCGTTGTCTGTTATTCCTGATTTCTTATAAATTAATTCATTTACATTTTCTCTTTCATGTGTCATTTTGGTTTTCCAAAAATATCCTTAGGTAGAAATTGTAATGTGGTTAATACCCATCTAAATAACTCTTTAGTTTTAATTACCAATAAAATCATTCAAAGAACAGTATATAACCAGTATCCATAAAAATACCACTAATTAAAAGGACTAAATTACATTACTAGTGACTAGAACTATTATAATTTTATAATTATTACATTTTTCTGAGCAAACACAAGCTTAGGTTCCAGGGTATGACAGCTAAAATAATTTCTAGTGGCACTTAAACAATCAATAACATTACTTTTTTTTCCCCCCTTTCTCCAGTAAAACTCTTCCAGGTATCCTGTCCATTCCCTTTCTCTTCTTTGTGCTCTTTAGTTCTTCTTCCGTTTTAATAATAATTCTTGTAGTGCATTGACGGCATATGTTGGCATTTTGAAGCTTTATAAATTGCATTCAGATTAAAAAGGATGTTCGCTCCTTCGTTTTTTAAAAAAGTCACAACCATTTTTATTATTGTTAGAAAATAATCACTGACCACAAAAAAATAGCACTGGAAAAAAATAGCTAAAGAACATCTTTATATTGCTTTAGGTAAGCAGGTAATGCATTAATTAAAGAGTGGTTTTTGTAGGGCTAAGTAAGCTCCTCGGTCTAATGCTGCCAAGGCCAAAAAGCAAGGGCAGAGCAATGCTCCATCTCTCATTGCTGGTGCAGCCCTCTGCTGGTCTCAAAGTCTGTCACTGTTCATAAAATATACAAGAAGTTCAGCTTTACTCCAACTTCAAAAACTATTACACTAGCAAATAAATTCAGAACTTTCCACAATTAAATCATTCATCATTACTGTACTATTCTAAAGGAGTTAGAATTTTGACCATTGGGTCCTGATCTGGACCCTTTTATATTTACTCATATAATGAGCAAAAGGGATAAAAAGATTTCTGGGCTATCCAAAATCAGAAATATTTTTACATGCTCTTTTGTCTCTTCAATCATGCTTATAGGCTATTTCAATACCTATATACTTCAGCAAAAACTGGATCTGCATATGCACTTATTTATTTGTTTGTTTGTTGTTTATTTATTTCAGTCTTATTTCCCAAAAGTGAAGATTAGTGTAAACCAGACTAAAGATTAGTAAACCAGGAAAAGGTTGATATTAGCCACCTAGTTGACATGAAGAGTCAGGAAAAAATATATCCACTGATCCCTGAGCTGAATGCTCAGAATACCATTGCTAGTAAAACTTCAAATACACACATTTCTTATTATTCATTTTGATTTGAACAGTTAATGTGGGGCTTATGGGAGGAAGGAGCAGTTAGTGAGGTGGAGAATATGCTCAATTATAAGTGAGAAAGGGGTTCAGAGGACATGATAGATCTGATATTAGCCCTCTTAACACTAACCTCCCTGACTAAAGGACATTGGTACTATAAGAATAAATAAATAACTTTGGGAGTAAAGAATATAGTTAATAAGTTGTCACATACCACTTTGAAAAACATAAATTAGTATGTGAAATACAAATTATAGAAAATTCCTGTAATATAGACTATTCTATTTTTTAATTCAGGTCTTTTCAAATTTTATTACTTACTGAATAAAAGTCCTTCAAAACTTCATCAAATAGTCCATGGTTAAATAAATTATGTTCTAGATATATCAAAGTAAATTACCATTCAAAACATAAATATTTCTAAAACGAGAATGTTGGTTTTCACATAAATTTATTGCAACTTTTTGACTCTATGGAAATAAAATCATTCACCACCTACTCCATATACTAAAGCTGCATATTGATATTTTAAAGATATTGATACTAAAATTGTATATTGCTATTTTAAAGACATTGAGATAGGGATTGGGGGTATTTTTCCAGGATCTGTAAGCTTGGATAGAATAAAAGTGTTTTATCCTAAATGATAAAGACATGGACAAAGATAAGCCAGAGTGAGCAATCATTTAGTACTAATACTTTTAAACACAAAAGTTAATTCTGTTTCATCATTGATATAAGTCCTCTATCTTCTCCTTAAAATTTCTTAGTTGGGGGTTGAAGACTGGTATTTCAAAGTGAGTCTGTTAAGTTTGTAAATAGACCTAATTACTTGAAAAAAATTGTCCTCTGTTAAACTGATATATGCTGCCTAAATAAATTCAGAGTAAGTCTTGTTTCACTTTATTGAGTCATCCTGTGTAATATTTGAAGACACTACATGTAAATGCCCATGCAAAATAAATAGATAAATAATTGTTATTCTTCATCCATTCCATAAATAACTTGGCCCTCAATACCCTTAGTAATCTACTTCTGCATGCTATCTAGTTTGATGCAATCTCAAATTATTAGAAGAAATCTAGTAATTTATGCATGATATAAGCAGGATGAAGTACAATACTACTATTATCTCTACTTATTTGTAACATAGAATCCTACTAATAAAAACTAAAAAAACATTCCACAATCCTAACGTGGCAATATACTGTTTTTTATATTGAGCTTAAGCTCTAGTGAAACCTTGTGACACTAGTCTCTCCAAATCTCTACACATATGGCTAATTATAAAGTATCAAAACAAAAACTCTTTGTTATTTGGTTCACCACATAATTTCTACTTCATTGAGATCACTGATAAAAAATATATAACAAGTTTCAATGTAAAAGACACATGGGATATAGTCTTCAAAAGATTCAGACTCTATAAGAAGCCTTGTCAAAGACTAAAAATACACAGATTTCTTATTATTCATTTAAGTTTTTAACTTTGAAATATAAATCAATATAAATGAAAGTAAAAATCACCTACTTGTTCCTTCTATAAGCAGCTCTTGTCCATGGCTACCCAAAAGTGTCCGAGAAAGAAAAGGTGCAAAATCCACAAAAATCTCTCGTAGAAGAGGAGCTGCCTTTTCTAAAGCATGTTCCAGTCTCTCTGTAATACTAATAGAAAGATGTTAAGTTACTCAAATTATTCAATACAATTTATCATTCTTAAAATAAACTATATTTCCACAGAAATATAAAATTATGCAAAAATTAAAAATGAGCTACACAGGATTTTTGCTATGCATAGTAGTCCTCCTACTGATCTATCTTGGTACCTTGAGCCCTGACAGACAACCTGGTTAACAACTATTCTAAGCATCAGTTCTTATGAGAAGTTGGAACTCATCTGTTAGGAGCACTTTCTTGGGCTGAGGGTGCAGCTCAGTGGTACAGCTCTTGCTCACAAGGACCTGGTTCCATCCCAGCATCACAAATAAAAAATTAAAAAAAAAAAAACACTTTCTTTTAAGCTGTATATTGACCCAAACAGACTCAAGACTTCATCAAATTTGTCTGTTAAACACTAAATCATCATTGAGTTCAAGGGCCGTGTTTTTGTTTCAAAGTTGTCAATGTATACAATAATATCATGTAAAAGCACATTTATACTGATCACAATTAACATTAATATATTTTTGTATGAATATTTACATATATTCATGCATACAAAAACATATATTTAAAGACTAAAAAAAAAAAGGCCCTTGCATTTCAGGATACTAAGAGTATCTAAAGCTTTATAAGCCAAACAAATATGTGAACAGCCACTACTTATCACTGTTCACACCAGGGGTACTTCCAGTTCAAACTATCAAGAAAGTAGTTGCTACAGAAACAAACAACATAAACTTATCTAAGTTTCACTATCAGTAATCATCTCCTCACAGGTACTGCCCTTAATAACAATTCTTCTATGTAACTCATAGAACTTTTCAACCCTAGAAAATACCAAAAAAACAAGCCTACACTTGAAATATCTTAGGGCATATTGTGCAGTAAATTGTGGATTTCCCAATTATGTTAAGGAAAATCAAGAATTCTCTGTTCACTAAGGATCTAGTGGTAGAAAACACTTTCACACCATTACAAATTAGAATTTGAAACACATATTTACAAATAAGGCAAGTGACAATAAAAATATTTATTTTACATAAATATATGTTATGCATATAGCACTGTTATATATTACAAATAGCTATGTCCCATGAACATTTTACATCTTATAATCTTTTGAAACAAAATTAACTTCTAAAATATTTCCAAGTCTCTAAATGTTTTAAAAAAATTTTTTTAAATGCCATGTATACTGGAAGGGAGGGAGAGACATATGTTGGAAAGGAAGGAGGGGATAGGAGAGGAAGGGAGGAAAAGGAGGAAAATGGAAATAAGGAAAATAAGCATAGCTAAATAGTTTTAAATGTGATCCAAAGGCATAAATCAAAATATCCAACTTCATATTTTAAATACCTCATATTTGAAACAGGGTCTTGTGGAACTGAACCAACTGTTGGAACTGAGGGCAATTTTGCATTTGATGATCTACTGCCTACAAAAGAAAAATAATCATTGACAGGAATTTTCTGGTTTTAGATGCAAGGATTCAAACAAACATGTTGTCATACCAATGAATAACAATATATTACCAATGCATTTTTAAAACATCCATTTGGATAACACTAAAGTCTAACAATCATTTTCTTGAATCCTTTCATAAATAAATTCAGTTACCATGTCAATTATCAAGCTAAGCAATCCTTCTGTTCATGGACTGAAGAGGTAAATAAAAAGTTGTTCGGATATAAGGTTTTTGGCTCAAAAATACTGTGCAAGACTGTTCAAAGGTGAAATTCAAATTAAATTATGAGAGCTACAATCTAATAGGTGGATTTATCTATTTGATTATTTATTTATTTACACTGGAGATTGAACTCGAGGATGCTTTACTACTGAGCTACATCCCCAGTCCTTCTTATTTTTATTTTAAGACAGGGTCTCACTAAGTTGCTGAGGCTAGCCTTAAACTTGCCATCTTCCTCTCTCAACCTCCCAAGGCACTGGGATTGCAGGCATGCACCATCATACCTGGCATGGATTAATAATTTAAATGAATCACTGGGTGGTAACTACAGGTAGTTGAGACATGACTGCAGAAGTAGGTCACTAGGGGTGGGTCCTTTTATATTCTGTCCCTGGCTTCTCATACATGCATATGCATGTATTCTTTCTCTTTTTCTCTCTCTCCCTCTCTCTCCATCCCCTCCTTCCTTCCTGGCTGCTATGAATGAGCTACTTTTCTCTGCCATGCCCTTCTGCCATAATGTTCTGCATCATCTCATGCCCAGAGCAATGATGTCAATTGACCATGGACTGAACCTCTGAAAACTGTGAGCCCATAACTGTGAGACAATAACTTTTCATCCTCCCAGTTGTTCTTGTCAGGTATTTTGATCACAGCAATAAAGAACTGACTATCACAAATAGTTATACCTCCATTACCATAAAAAAAATGTCATTCAGTCATCAGTTAACATCTGCTATATGCTGACAGCCTAAGTCTAGTCAGTCAAACAACCAATGAACACCTGAGAAACCTTTCTTAAATGATTCAAGCAGAATTTACATTCTGTCATTTACTCTCACTGTCATTACAGTATACAATTTGAAGCAGCTGTCACATTATTTATTTTTATTTATTTGTTTGTTTGTTTGTTTATTTGGTGGTACTTTGAACCCAAAGCCTTGCAAGTGCTCTACCATTGAACCACATCTCCAGCACTTTTTTATTGAGTCAAGGACTCAATAACATACCCAGTGTTGGGGTTTAACACTAATCAGTACCTAGGAAGGCTTATTGTTCCTGAAGTGAACGAAGAAGGACTTGTAAAAATGTGCTGGGGAAGGGAAGGAGGGGGAAAACTGTCTACTTTCCTATCTCCAATCCATAAGTGAAGTCATGCACTCATAAAACATCTGAAGGAACACCTGTGCAAAGATAGCATGCAATACATCCTATACATATTCCTGGTGGGTAGCTCTGATGCAGCCCTCAATTTGTCCTGATCTATTGCTGCTGCCAAGGAATACAAGAGTAACAAAACTCTATGGGAAGACATGGGGCAATGACCTGCTCACCTAGGACCTGACAGACCCAGATGGGCTTTCAGCTGTCTAAAGACATGGCACACCTTAGCAGCCACCTCCCTCTCCCCAGCCACACTACTTTAGTTGATTTTTAAAATGTTCTTTTATTATACAGACTTTTTGAAAACAGAAACTTTTATCTTTTTCATCCATCTACCTAGAGTCTAGAGAATCTAACACAATAGAAGGTCTTCAATCAATATGAATTACAGAAATGATTCCCTTAGTCACTCTGAACTCCTATATTTAATAGATCAATTTTCTCACCTGGTATATACTTCCTTACCTATTTCCTACTATTTTATTTCACTTCCATTGTTCAAACTACTATGTCAAATTAACTTTCATCATATGATTTTGTCTGTCTTTCCAATCAATGCTTCCAGATAACCTTAGATACTCTTGTAACTCTATATTGTTAAATGACCAGTTCATCCTCTTATAGTATAAAGTGTTCAAACTATTGTCTCCTATAGGAATCATGTTCTTTATGTTATTAACAAAGAACTGTATTTGCGAATTTTACATGGCAAGAGAAAAATAGTTGCCAGGAAATTAACCCTGACAGAGAATGGGTAAGAACAGAAATAATATGCATTATGACAAGTCTTTGAAGAGTGAGTTTAGAAGGCTAATTTGGAAGACAGTTTTCTGAGACTTCAAGAGAAAAAGGGAGAAGAAAGAATAAATGCTCATCTAGAATACAGAAAGAAAGATGGTTAAAATACATGAGAAGGAAAAAATATAGTCCTCTGACATCTGAGGACATCAGCTAAGCCTTATTGTTTGTTGTTAGGAGCTGAATTGGGGCCCACAGCTAGATCTTGGTATTATACATAAACAATTTTAAATATAAACTATGTTTAGTAAGCTTTTTTACTGCTATGACTAAATGACCCAACCAGCACAACTGTAGAGAAGGAAGAGATTATTTGAGGTTTCATGGTTTCAGAGGTCTTAGTCCACAGAAGGCTGGCTCTATTTCTCAGGGCTCAAGATGAGGCTAAACATCATGGCAGAGTGTGCAGCACAGGGAAGCAGCTTACATCTTGGTGATCAAGAAGGAGAGAGAGTCAGTCCACTCTCCAGATACAAAATATATACACCAAAGACACATCCCAATTCCCACCTCCTCTAACCACACCCTAAACTTCAGTTAATCCCATCAGGGATTAACTCACCGATTAGTCTAAGGCTATAGCCTAGTCATTTCTCTGCCAAACTTTTTTGCATTGTCTCACAGGTAAGCTTTTGGGGGACACCACATCTAACCCATAACAAACAATTTCACAGAATAATATTAACATCAGACAAGGATATTCAGTGACCAAGAAGAATCAACGCAATACCACGTTATAATCATGTTCCAACACAGAGGAAAAAATGAACTCTTCCCAAATAACAAAAATAATCAAACATCCAAAACCCTATTATCTGAGAAAGCTGGTTATTTACAAAATTCATTGGCAGTCTCAGTCATGCCCTCCTAGATATTATGATAATATCTAATCACAGAATTACCCTGCCTTCCTAACAGTATTCAATCCAAAAGGCTTATTTCCTTAAATCCTCACCAAAATCACCTAATACAAGTTCAAATCCTATGATAAACATCATTCCTAAGATGACATACATTTCTCCAGTCACATACTTCAAAGAATAACAAACTTATTAAACCAAAGTCCTGGTACTCTTTGCTTGGAAGGCACTGATGAAAACTTCATGTGAATTTGGTGTCAACGTATCTTATATACAAACATAGATAAGATAAATTGTAGTATACAGGTGTATTAAGAATTGTATTGCAAAAAAAAAGAAAGCTCATGTATAATGGCATAATTTGATATGAACATACTTTATATACAGAATTATGAAAAATGGTGCTGTGAATGGATAATTATAAATGTAATGCACTCCACTACTGTCATGGATGTAAGAAATAATAGATAGATAGATAGATAGATAGATAGATAGATAGATAGATAGATAGATAGATATAGACAGACAGACAGAAAAACTGAGCAAAATATATAAATAAAAAATTTAAAGATAATTAGACCAAAATAGTACTACTCCTGTGTTTAAGGTGATAAATAAAACAACTCACAAAATAATACTTACAAAAAAAGGAAAGAAATGTAAACATAACATTTGGAAAGGAAATAGAGAAAGAATAAGATCAAACAATTTATGGTAAGATACAAATTAGCACTTAAACTATGGGGAGGATTCTGATTTTTAAACATATGAAAAATATATATCTTATCACTGAGAACTGCGATTTCATAGTGTTCCTGGTGATTTTTCACATACATAAAGGTATTTTTATCTATATACATAGTTGTATTAACAAAAACTTGAAAAGGTTTTTTAACAGTATAAAATAAAACTATTTTATTTTAGCTTGACAAAGAAAGTTGCAAAATCATTAAAGATAATTAATAACAAATCAAAATAGAGTAAGTTTGAAATGTTTGAAGATATTTGATAATCAAATGCACATCATGGACTAGACTGGATACTAGAATAAGGGAGGTGTTGATAAGGGGCATTGATGGGAACCTAGAGAAACTACTGAAATAAGAAACGTGAATGGGGTAATAGTTTTGCATCCCTATCAATGTCCTAATTCCARCATTTACGTGTCAATATATGTATATGTAAGAAAGGAAACACATTGACTTTTTAGAGAAAATTGTCATAATATCTTTAAATTTATCCCAAATCATTCAGAAAATAAATTGCATGTATGTATGTTTGTGAATGTATAGAAAAAATAATTATAGCAAAGATAGGAAAATGATAAAAAATGGCCAATCACTGAATGCTTATTTTTTAATTGTTTCAAATAACAATAAAATATTACAAAATACTGCATAAAATAGATGAATACATATACTCCTTGAAAAAAAAAACTTCATGTGGGGGCTGGGGTTGTAGCTCAGTGGTAGAGCACTTGCCTAGAAAGTGTGAGGCTCTGGGTTCACTCCTCAGCACCGTATAAAAATAAATAAAATAAAGGTATTGTGTCCATTCTATACACACACACACACACACACACACACACACACACACACGTGTATATAAAAACTTTATGTGAATTCAGGCAGAGAATCAATTAAACTGAGAAAGGTAGCAAAAAACCTGGGCCTATTTTAAAAGAACCAAAATTAGTAGGGTGTGGTAGTATATGCCTACAATCCAAGCAATTCAAGAAGCTGAGGCAGAAACAGTGCAAGTTTGGGGCCAGCATTCACAACTTAGAGAAGCCCTCTGCAACTTAGTGGGATACCATCCCCAAATTAAAAAAAAAAAAAAAGGACTGGGAATGTGGCTTAGTGGTAAAGCACTCCTAAGTTAAATCCCTAGTAACCCCTCCCCCCCAAAAAAATTTTTTGAGGGAAT